CCGCCCCCGAGGTTTTTTATGTCCTGTGCAAGGTGGTGGTTCCACAGTGCCAGTAAAAGAAGAGAGAGAAGATTCTGTGAGAGCTTTTAATGAGTTCCAGTTTTAGAAGCAATCAGAAAAATAATTGCATGATTTAAACATTTACTGAGTTAAGGTGTTTTTCTGTCTCTCCCTCGCTCTCCCACTCTCTTCTCTGGCTGCCCACGCCAGGCACGCGGCTCCCAGCACCTGTAACCTCAAGTGCAGCTGTTGGGGCTTCTGGATGCCCCTGGGGGGCTTCGTCCTGGGACATCCCCAGGATCCAGGCAGGGGTGTGTCTGGGCTCCCAGCTCCCAGGGCCGGCCACACCTTCCTCAGGCCTAGCCTTGACCTCGCTCACTGAAGGACTGAGGACTGGATTTTAGCTTGGAACTTGAGTCCCACCCAGGTTCCTATTGGGATCCAATCTCTGGCATATCCTCCAGGTGTGCCTGGGAGTTGGACCTGCCTGCTCTGGATGGCCTCTGCCAGGAGCTGAGGCCTGCCTAGGTGCCCACTACCCAGGTGACCATGCAGTAACTGGAGGGACATGCTCCCCTCTGTGCTCCCCCCTCAACAGCCCCCTCTCCGGGCCCATCATCAAGGTCTGCTCCCCACCATCGGTGACAGCCCAGCTCCAGGTTCCAGCCCCACTGCACCTACTCAGTTCTGCAGCAGCTCCATGGTCATGTCCAGCCTTCCTCCCTCCACCTGTTCTGCAGCCTGGTGTTGGGTGCTGGGATGCATGAGACACCCCTGTGAAGTTTCTGCACCTGTGAGTGATGGTGGAAGAAGAGGTGCAGAAGCTGGGTGCGCCTCGGCTTCCCTACTCTTTCCCTGGCAGCTCTTGTGCAGAGGGCTTGGGTGGGACCAGCCCATTCTTCAGTATCCAGGGCCACAGGGCAGTCTTCAGGGCAAGGGTACACCCAGCCCTGATCCTTCCTGCAGGCCTGAGACTGTGCAGCTGGTATGGCTGATGTGGCTATGATCTGGGGTTCTGGGGCCTCCTGTGCTCTGAGCAGCCCCTCTTTGGTTTGTTCGGTGAGATCACACAGGAGGCCACCACAGTTGCCAGGAGAGGTGGTGGTGGCCTCGGTGAGGGATCAGGGACGAGTTGCAGCCCCAGGCTTACCCTACCCGATGCTCACAGTCCTGTCTGTTCCACGTGGAGAGTGCCCGCTGAGGACAGGGTCCAGGACAGCCTACCCAGGGTCTGTGGAGGAAGTCAGTTTTCTGCAGTGAGCCATTTTCCAGAAAAGAGGGTCGGGTATTCCAGAACCATGAGTGTTTGCCAGGAGCCCAGGGCTCAGGTAAAACAAGCCTGCACGTTTGTTCAGCTTTGGTTCCCCCTTTTGTTCAAGATGAGTGGTGTTCGCCTGTCAGCGAGCATGGTGGAGGGATCATGGGTCTGAGTGGGATAGGGTAGGGCCTCAGAGACAACCTGGGACCAGGGGCTGGCCTTGCTGCACCAGCACCAACCTGACTGCTGAGAGGTGTGCCCAGTTGGCAGGGGCAGTGCCAGGCATCTTAAAAAGAGGGATGCCTAAATTGAGGAAGGGAAGCCTCGTGTAGAAGCTTACATTCAGTTCCAAGAGACCAGGGGCTGAAACTCTCAGCATGTGGTCCCAGTAGCTGGGTTTCCTGAAGGTGAGATGTCACGGCCCTTGGTCAGTGCAGTCCTGGTCACCTTTCACATAAGGGACAGCCTGTGCGCAATGTTTCCTCACTGTGCCGAGGGCTCTGGGAGGCTTGGTGTATCCCCAGCACAAGCTGGCGCAAATTAACATTCTGTGTATCTCAGCTCATGTCAGGGGAGGGTTGTCGCTGTTCCTGTCGCTTCTCTGTGCTGAGCTCAACCAGGAGTGGACAGGAGCCCCCGGCAGTGGCCCCAGCCCAGAGACCCTGTTTCCCCACCCCCAGCTCCTCTGTCATACTGTGAACAGAGCCTGCCTGCAGTCCCTACAGATGTTGCTGGCGTGGTTGGCTGGGACGGCAGGGCCCCCTTCAGCCCACGATGGACAGTGGGTGGCCAGGCCAGTGAGAGCAGCCACCCTTGGCCACAGCACTGATTACAAAAACATCCTGCTCAGGAGGAAAAAGACAGGTGCTTTTTCCAGGTCCAGGCAGAGAAAGCCATTTGTAAAGCTGTTCGGCAGCCACAGCGAGAGGGTTTGAAGTGAATTAGAAAATCACCTTGGCCACTGCATTTCCAAAGTGGCCTCCCCTGAAGCCTGGAACATAAGCCATGCGTGCCCTGTTGGCATGTCAGAGACTTTGTCTGACTTGGGGACACCATGTCCTATCCCGGCTGTCCCAGGTTATTGGAGTCGATGCTGCTGTAAGTGAGGAACACCCAGTACAGTAGCCGTGAGCTACTGTAGCCACGGAGACGCAACCAGAGCACCGAGGCTGGGCTGCAGGGTCACAGCTGTCCCTGCTTCCATTCCACCCAACAGTCTGTGGTCCCCAGGGTCCCTCAGGGGCACTGGGCTCGTGGCCCTGCTCAGCTATACCTCTCCCTCCTCCTAACTTCCCTGTCCTCTCTTGCCAAGCCTGTGTCCCTGTAGGCTGGACAGGGGCTTGGAGCCATGTCTCCCGTCAGAGATATGGCAGCACCTTGTCGGCTGTGGCCCTCAGCTGCTCCTGCTCATAGGAAGGGGATACAGCACAGAAAGTTCACCCACGCAGGTGGCTGCACCACGGATATCCCAGAGGGAGGCCTGCTGTCTCTGGGCACTAAACAGGGGTCCTAGGTCCCACATCCTGGAGGGAGGCCCACTGTCCCTGGGTACTGACCAGCTTTGGTGGTAGGTAGGGACCAGGGTTCGGGTCAGCCTTAACTTGGGTTTGGATGCTGGCTCCAACATTTCCAGCTGTGTGTCCTTGGGCAAGTCACTTATGCGCTCTGTGACTCAGTTTCCCTGCCTGCCCTGTCTGTAAGGTGGGGTAGTGACAGGTGAGTTACACACAGTGTGGGGAGATGAGCGAGTTGCTAACCGTGAAACCTTTAGAAAGGTCCCTATAAGCCCTGAGTGCATGTGCAGCCAAGGCCAGGCTCAGGGTATGCTGGGCCGGGGCTTGCTCAGTGGCCAGGGTCAGGGCTGGTATGTGGTGGGGCCAGCGCCTGGTCTATGACAGGCTGGGCCAACAGCCCAAGTCTGGAGAAGGGAACATTCTACCGCGGCTGGCTGAGCAGGAGCCTTTGGCTCATGACTGTGACATCTCCATCTTAGGGTCAAACCTAAGCTTGGCCTCCTTGGCCTCCGACCTCACTCCCAGAGAAGGTGCCGGTGACAGGAGACCAGAACCCAACCGAGGCTGAGGCCAGCCAGCACCCACCCACCCATCTGTTGTTGCCCCTGCCACAACACCAGAGGCACACTGGGGCCCAGACCCTCAGACCCCATGCCCATCACCAGTTTCCCAGCCGTGGGCCTGATTCCCACAGAGTGGCCGCCGGCCCTGCTTTGTGTTCAAGCCCAGTGACTGAACTGCAGTTGATAGTATGTGTTGGTTTAAGATCATACTAATTGCTTCATTTCCCAGAACACTCCTAAAAAGAAAATGAATTTCCCTGTAATATTTTGCAGTGGGGTGAAATGACCCTTGCAGAAATCAATCCCAGCTCTGGAATGAGCTGCAGAGTGGGTAGGCATGCTGGGGCAGGGGTCATGGCCACCCCTCCCTGCCCATCTCAGCAGGCACAAAGGAACTTTAACCCAGCCCTGTGCCAGGCACCGTGTGACACTCAACACCGCTGGGTGCCTGTGCAGGAGGGGTGGGCTTGCTCAGGTGATAAGTGAGCAAACATGGCTCAGGTGAACCAGTTTGCCCAGGGCCATGCAGGGTGACAGGAAAGGAGTGGGCTTCCCGACAGTGGGCACAGGTACGAGTCTAACTCTTCCCTTTTTTGAGAGGTCTGGGAGGTCCCAGCAGGACCTCTTGAGCCTATCAGATGGGTGCTGGGACCTCCCTCATAGGCGGTACCAGGTATGCGGTGGTGTGTGCCGTGCCCTTGGCACAGCCCAGCAGCATGGTCCAAGAGCGGTGTGGCCACGTCTTTCGCCATCATGGCCATCTGCTGGTCGAAAGGAGTTAGAAAGTTGGCTAGCGTGGAGGACGCAAGAGCCCAGCGGGACATGTCAAGGTAGAGGGCATCCCCAAGTTCTCCTGGCCCAAGTATCCACTCCTTTCTTTGTTAACTAGCTTTCTGGAGCTACTCAGTCCTTGAATAGCAACAGGGGTACCAACCACCCACCTATCCATCCACCCACCCTTTCTGTTAACTAGCTTTCTGGAGGTACTCAGTCCTTGAATAGCAACAGGGGTACCAACCACCCACCTATCCATCCACCCACCCTTCCACCCATCTACCCACCCATCCATCTGTCCCACTCCTTCCTAATTTGCTGAGCAGCACCTGTGTGCTAGCCTGTGCTCAGTGCACATGCACAGAGAGGGAAACGTAGAGCCCACTGTCATGGACCTCCCAGGTGAGTGGGGATGGGGTGTTTGTAGGAGCAGCGGCAGCCCTGTGAGGGTGCAGACAGTGTTCTCCTCTGGACAGTCTCTGTCTTCCTGTAGTTGGGCCTCCAGTACCGTGTTGGGGACACTGTCCTACACTAGACTGCAAGTCTTTGGGGACAGACTCTGGGGCCTCTGTACCCAGTGGAAGAGCTCACAGCCCCTGGGATACTTGGAGAGTGTGCGGTTTGACTTCCAAGTCAGTGGACGTAGCATTCAGATCCTTGCCCTGTGTCTGAATTGTGGGGTGAGCTTAGGTTCATCCCTGGCCCTTTCTGGGCTCTGGCCGCTCCTTCTCTAACACGAAGTGGACAGGACCAGCTGGCCACTAGGTACTCTGTGGTTCTGTTTCTGTAGGTGCCACCCGCGCTGGCTGTGGGCTTGCCCAGCACTCGCTGGTGCCTTTGATTTCTGCACCTGCAGCCTCTGCTCCTAACATGGCTGTCTTGCTTCCACAGAGCGACTTGCTGGACGTGAATCAGATCATCAAGGACTTGGCCTCCATGGTGTCGGAGCAAGGAGATGCTGTCGGTGGGTACCCACCCCACCCTCAGGCCACCTGCTGGCCAGCACCCCAGCCACCCCCCACTTCCCAGGTGTGGGTGGAGCTGCGTCTGAGATCAGCAAGGCCCAGGGCAGGATCCAGTCTGAGCGTCTGCTTTCCTCTCTCCCTACCTCCTGGAGGCTGGGGTAGCCGGGGCTCGTGTGAGGTGGTGGCCCTCCCATTCTGCTCACTGAGAGAGTCCCTGGCCTCCATGCCCCATACCCTGGGCCTTATACCTGCCCGAGGACTCCCCGGAGTGAGGACCAGCTTTTCTGAAAGGGAGGAGCGGTTGCAGCTACAGCAGGGGTCCCAGTGAGAGCGCTGGGGACGTGGAGCCTGGAGCTCCTTGGAGTCTGGTACTGTCACTGGTGTTCCAAGCCTCGGCCGCACCAGTAGGAAACTGGTGTGGCAGTGTGGAGAGGGGGCGTGGGGACAGTGTTGGGGAGCATGCACGTGTTGCCAGGGCGTGGTGTCCTGAAGGCCACCCTATTCCCAGAGAGACAAGGCCGGCTCCACAAACTAGGACAGCTCCTTGACCACCTTGAAGGCACCTCCATCCCGTCAGCCCTGCTCTCCTTTCTATGAGGAAGTAAAAGCCAAGGGGAGGCCCCAAGGGTCACAGGTGGCCCCACGACTGCCACTAATCCTAGATGGGAACCAGCTCCTAGGGCCCAGAGTCAGTTCATACCCTAGTGTGGGGGCTCAGTGACAGGTAAAAGCTGGTGGGGTCCTGGGGACGTGGCGGGGTGTGGGGACAGGAGTTCTCATGTCCCTGAGAAGCCCTGGCTGCCACTGCCAGAGGGCACCAGGCTAGGCTTTGGCTCCAAGATCTCGGGATGCAGGGGCCAAGTGTGGAGCCAGGGAGGCTGGGGCTCATCTCGTGGCGTCCTCACCACAGCGAGGGAGGGGACTCCGACAGATGGGACATAGGCCAGGGCAGCCAGGCGACCCCTGCCCAGGCCCGCCTGTCTGGCTCACCTTGGTCACCCAGTACTGGGTTGGGGAGAAGGGGCGGTCACCTGTGGGCTTCCCTAGAGAGGTCCTGTCCACCCTGCCCCAGGGCCCAAAAGCTCTGGCCCCCCTAGTAGCTGGCCACCTGTATTTTGATGTTGAGGAGAAAGATATTTTTAAAAGTCTCCTGTCTTTATGGGAATTCCTGCCTGACCAATTAGGTCCGAAGCATTCTGAGAATGAAGCAGGGGGGAGTGCTGATTACTGGGCTCTCAAAACGTTTCCCTTTGAGGCTCTGGAGCCCTGGGCTGCTCCCTCCTGCTGGAGGCCGGCCAACAGCTGAGCTCTGCCACCTCTCCAGGCTGGGCCCTCTCAACCCTGCCTGAGTCGGCCCCAACTCCACGTGCTCAGAGCCCAGGGAGAGCCAGGGATGCTGGTGTCCTCGCCCAGAGTGGTCACACGGCGGCTCTGGCCCGTCTGCACCCCTGCTGTGTTTCATGTTCCCTCCCACACGAGCTCACGGTTCTCCGGCCAGGTCTCTGGTCTCCTCAGCTGAGGGCGAGCGAGGCTGTTCCCAGTGTCCAGAAGCCCTTGGCCAAAGTGGTCAGCTGCCTGCCAGGACCCACAGGCCTCTGCCCCCTACTCACTGCCCCTCCATTCTCTGGCTGGGGAGGACTTCCCGCCTCTAGCTCTGAGGACCGTGCGTGCTGAGACCCGCAGGCAGCCTGTACCCTTCTCTCTGGTTCTGTGCTGCATCCCTGGGAGAAGTGACCGGGAGGCTGGAGTTGGGAGGCTGGGCCAGAGGCTGCCATGTCCCTCCCCGTGTTGCTCCCTGGGGCCTTATTGGGCCAGGCTTGTGCCTCGGTCCCCTCAGAGCCTGGGTTTCCAACAGGGGCCTGCTCTGTGGCACTGGATGGCACACGCTGGGCTGCCCACCTCCCCCTCATGGCTTCTTTTCCGCAGGACCCACCCTGTTTCCTTGTCCTCCCTCGCCCCCTCCATGTGGTGGCTGCAGCCCTGCCCAACTCTGGCCCGCTGTCATAGGCTGGGACATGCAGTGTACAGAATGGTTTGTCCACTCCAGGTGTCCACCTGGTGCTGATGGCAGACTAGTTGGAATGGGCCATCCCCTGGATGGCGAGGGACATCCAGGCCAGCAGTTCAGAGAAGGGAGTGGTTGTGGGGGAAGGGACAGACCAGGGCTGCAGGCAAGAGACTCAGCAACCCTGACAGCAGGACCCGGACGCAGTGGGTGCAGGCCGCTTCTGTACAGGCACTGCTGCACACTGGTGCAGGGCCCGCGGTGACCCGGGGCTGCGGGCCTGGTGGCACTTCCCCATGGCCTCCGCCCACCGCTCAGCCTCTGGTGCCTTTCTAGGGTCCAGCAGCAGCAAGGCCATGTGCCGGCGGAGCTCCAGCCCTGAGCCAGCCGTGGCGGCCCTGCTGCCGGGTGCCGGGCCGGGCTCCACACCCCTGCGGCCAGGTCCCCACTCCCGCACCAAGACGCGCAAGCCCAACTTCAGCCCCCAGGAGACGGCAGTGCTGGTGCAGAGGGTGACGCGCCACTACCCGCTGCTGTTCGGGGTGCTGCGGGGCACGCCTGCCCGGAAACACCGTGTGTGGAGCAGGATCCTGCAGGCAGTGAATGCGCTGGGCTACTGCCACCGCGACCTGGGTGACCTCAAGCACAAGTGGCGGGACCTGCGTGGTGCCGTGCGCAAGAAACTGGCGGAGGGTGGCCCGGCCCCCGGCCTCATCCTCACGCCCATCGAGCGCATGGTGGCCGAGACCTTCTCAGCCCTGGCCCCCCAAGGCAAGGGCCAGGCCGAGCCCCTGCCAAGTAAGTGGGCTCCTCCCAATTGACCGCCTTTCCAGGCCTGCCCTGCCCTGCCCCAGGGTGCCCCAGCTTCCCACACTGGCTGTCTGCCTGTGCACAGTGCCTGAGAGAGACGCCCTTCACAGGAGAGCTAGAGGCCCATGGGGCAGCCCATCATCCTCCTGGCCCTACCATGCTTCTAGATGGGGAAACTAAGGCTTGGGGCCAGGGAGGGGCCTGCCCATCTTGGGAGTGGAGGAGCTGGGGTGCAAAACTGGGTTCATCCTGGCTCCGAGCTTGGGGCCTATCCCGGGTTGCCCAGCCATGGCGTAGGACAGCCAGGAGGCCTCCAGAGACCCTAAGGACCCTCACGTTAATCACAGCAGCTGGAATCTCTCACAAGCTTAGGCCTCAGACACCCTGGCAAGTGATACCACACCCTCTACCACCATCATCACAGGGAGGTTGACCCTGCCACAGGTGCCACCTGGAGCCACAGTCACAGTGGTGTGTGGGCAGGACCCTGTTCCCACCTGGGTGTCTAGATGGGATGCTGGGGCTCTGTTTCCACATCACTAGAGAGACGAGGACCGTGATGGTGAGGAACCAGTGTCTGGGTGAGGTGCAGAGACTAGGGACAGAGCCCTCTGAGGCTGGGGCCCTGGTGCAGGCCGTGGGAGGACTGCAGCTGAGGCAGTCTGCGTGGCTCCCGTCCTAGCCTCTGTCGTTCATGTCTGATAACTGGAGGCCCATTTTCCCCAAGCCATAGCCTGTGCTTATGACACTGAGCTCAGGGCACCATGATCACTGGGCCACCAGGCTTTTAAAACTATCAAGTCTCAGCAGAGAGGTGAGTCCACTTCCCCGTGCAGGGCAGCCAGGCCTGGCTGGCTGCAGGGTTTGAAGATGTGACGGTGTCTGGGAGGAAGGAGGACTTCCCTCTCCCTCCCTTGTCCTCCCACTTCCCCAGCCCTGGAGCGGAAGGTGCCTGGGTGCAGCTGCTGTGGCAGCGGAAGGCCACACAGCAAGTAGGAGGGAGCCTGGGCCAGACCCTGACTCCAGCCACTGGTCCCTGCCACTGTCTCTAGGTACCAGGAGATGACCTAGGGATTCGTTGGCTGTTGTAGAATTTTGACAGAGCCAGGGAAGAACCTGGCCCCAGTTCAGCTCTGCTCCCTGCCCCACCCCATACCTTCCTCTCGGCATGTGGGGGTGGGAGCAGGGGTGACCCTGCCCTCCCCTGCAGGCCTGTCTCCCAGGACTCACTCCGAAGCCCCAGACCCACTACTCTCTGGGGGCTCTCGGCCTCCTAGGACGCGCTGCCCCCTTCTGAGCCATGGTTACTGCAGGGCCTCCCACTGCCAGTAGTTTCTGTGCTTGGCTGGGCCTCTCCTGCAGCCCACAGCCACCTCAGGCTCCTGCTGCCACCGCCTCCTCCAGCACTGCCTCCTCCAGTGCCGCCGCCTCCTCCTCAACGCCTGTCTGTCCTCAAAGCTGAGCCCCCTGCACTTCTCTCTTCTCTGGAAACTACTGGAAGGACTTTGGGGATGAAGCCCCTGGACAGGACCAGTTGCAGAGTGGACAGCAGGACCCAGCCTCCTGGGGACAAGCAGGGGCCGGCTTCAAATGCCCCATCAGGCAGCCATGGTGGAACATCGAGCCCTACAGCACCGTTAGCTGCTCCTGCTCTGCCGGGACACATGGACACAGAGCAAGCCTGGGCTGGGTGGGAGATACGTATGGACCTGGGACACTGCTGAGCCTGTGGCTGGCCTCAGGCAGTGGGCCTGGGCAATGGATGTGGGCCAGTGGCTTGGGGATGGGGTGGGGCTGGAGGTCCTGTGGGTAGTGCCTTTCAGGCCTGGGGAGGCGAGTGGCACCACTAAAACCACCCCCCAGATGGCCTCATGCCTTCTCCTACAGTCCTGCAGCCCATGGTTCTGTGGGCAGAGGTGGTCCTGGCTTTGGGGTGCTTCAGGGCAAGGGTGGACATTCTGTGTGGGGACTGAGAAGGGGCTGGCAGTGGGTGGCTCTGGGTGTGCCCTGGGTGCTGGGTCCCTTCTTATAAGTCCCCAGCTCTATAGGGGCAGCAGGAACTCAGTTGTACTCTCCCCTGGGGGGAAGGCCCAGTCCAGACTTCTCTGACCCCCTGGTAGATCAACCCCCAGGATCCTGTGGCCCTGGGCTCACCTCTGTCTTGGGAGCCCAGCTGACTGGCCCCTTGGTGCCGTGAACTCCTCGTGGGTGTGGCCTGGCACACTGCTGATGGCCACTGATGTTTGTTGAGTGACTTCATGAGAGTGTTTGGGATGGGGACAGGCCTCCCCCTGTGGGAACTGAGGCAAGGAGCCAGGACATGGCTGCAAAGCCTGATGACGGGTGGGTGACATCACAGCTGGGCGCAGGGGTCCCTGAAGACAGGGAGTTGACAGTGCCCTGGGGTCTCCTTTGGGGGCCCGGTGCCCCGAGGCTGCTGAGCAGGCACATTCCCTTGAGGCGTGCCTCCTGCCCTCTGCGTGACTCTGGGGATGGGGGCCGGGCCAAAGGCAAACTCTTTGGCATCTGGAGGCCTGGCCCAGTGTTTGGGTGTCCCAGAGAGTCCCAGAGCCAGAGGCCTTCTAAGGCAGCTCCCACCAAGCAGTTCCCAATGCCAGGAGAAGGGGTGGGTGCCCAGAAGTCTGTGGCCCTGCAGATCTGCAACCCCACAGACCTGGCGTCTTCGAGACAAAGTGAAGGCACTGGGCCTGGGGCTGATGGGCCGTCAGAGTGCCGCCTGGTCACCTCCCCACACAGCTGCTGGGGAGTAGCCTTATTCTTCCCACCCAGCTCTGAGCATGCATGGGCAGGACTCTGCCTTCCCACCTGGCAGTCCAGAGCTCAGGAGGAGGCTTCTGGCCATGGAGTGGGGCATCAGGTTGTATGATGTCCCAGGACAGGACTGTGTGGATTTGGGGATGCTGTGCCAGCAAAGCACACCCGCAGGCCTGCTTGTGGCCTGCAGCCTGTGTGTGGAGCCCGCAGAACACCTGGAACTTCAGTCTCTGCTCGGAGGTGGGCCTTGTTTGCAGGCAGCATGTTACGGCCAGGGTTGGGGCTCAGAGTGTCCTTGGGATCAGGGGTTGACGTAGAGTAGGATCGGGCTTCGTCCAAGTCCAAGGACAGAGTCCAGGCCTTGGAAAGATGTGGGATGGAGCTGGAGCACCCCTTTCTCTTACTTGTGTCGCAGGCTGCAGCCTGCACCCACAGGACATAGTTCTCTGTGTCCTTTTTCTGCCAGTGACCTCACACCAGGCCGTGGCCTGGTTAAGAGCAAATCCTGCTGGGTTGGAGGTGCCGCTATGCCCAGGCACAGCACCCTGTGGCTATAACAACCTTCTCTGTCCCAGGCCTTGGGCTTCCTGAGGCTCGGATCAGCTCATCATTGTGGCCAGGTATGCACTACAGATGTACGATTTGAGTTTAGGTATTTCTGCTTCTCATATTCTTATCCTAATGCCTGGTTTTGGAAGCATGCATTCTCCCTGATGTCTCCATTTCCTTGAAGAATTAACAGCCTTGACCCATGTTTGCGTCTGAGTGGCCTCTGGTCTGTGCCGAGTGGGGATAGCCTCTGGTCTGTGCCGAGTCGGGGTGGTTGCTGGTCTGTGCCGAGTCGGGGTGGTTGCTGGTCTGTGCCGAGTCGGGGTGGCCTCTGGCCTGTGCCTAGTGGGGCTGGCTGCTGGACTGTGCTGAGAGGGGATTAGCCGCTAGGACTATGCCGAGTGGGAGTGGCCACTGGACTGTGCTGAGAGGGGATTAGCCGCTAGGACTATGCCGAGTGGGAGTGGCCACTGGAATGTGCTGAGTGGGGGTGGTCGCTGTTCTGTGCCAAGAACCGAGGTGCATATTCTTCTTAGGTAGAGAAGGAAGCCAGGTCACCCGCCTGGATTCATACACAGCTCCTGCTGTCTGTGCTGAGTGGGGGTGGTCGCTGTTCTGTGCCGAGAACCGAGGTGCATATTCTTCTTCTTAGGTAGAGAAGGAAGCCAGGTCACCCGCCTGGATTCATACACAGCTCCTGCTGTGGCTAAGCGCCCAGGTCTTAACTGCCTACGGCCCATGTGCCCCTGAACTGGCCATGCCCTCCTAGTGGGGCTAGGATGGACTTGGTGCACATTTCCTGTGGTGCAGTCTTTTGCTGCTGGTGTCTTTGTGTGGAATCTTCTGGTTTCCCGGGGCTGCTTTAAGGTGCCTGTGGTCTGCCCCTGAGTCTCATCTGGGTGGCTTCTGTGAGCCCTGCTGGTGGCATCTCTGGGCTTCACTGACACACCCATTGGCCCTGCTTGTCCCCACATCACTGGTCCCCATCCAGCCCCATGCTGTGGCTTGAATTGGCTGTCCAGAACCCAGGTGCCACAGGTCAGTGCACACTGGAGCCCTGTGTTCACAGACCCAGTCTCGGCCAGTCCTTGTAGCAACTCTGCAGGCTGTGCCAAGATGGGCTCTGCCCCTTGGAGGGGCTGCCCAGAGGCACAGAGTTATGGCAAAGTAGGGCTTGACCATGGCTCTGGCCCCCCACCATGACTTCCCCCTTTCCTGAGGGTCCTATTCTCTGCCCGCTCAGTGAGGATGTTGAGAAGTCCCCTTCCTCTGAGGGGCACGTTTAGGCCCTTGTGCTGATGTCCTGACCTCTGCTCACACCAAGGAGGTCCTGCAGGTGATACCTGGCAGCCCAGCGCCCCATCTCTGCAGCCTCTGCTCCTATGGAGGCTGGGCCTCCTGGGAGCTCACACAGGAGGGGCATCAGCACCCCCAGGGGAGCAGATGCCAAGCCCAAGTTGTCCTCTGCCCCAGCCAGCCCTTGGGCTGGGCTCCCCTGCGGCTCCCCTTCAGGGGTGTCCTTAAGGCTGGGTCTCCTTCTGTAACTGCCTTCTGTTGTCTTGATTTGCAGATAGTATTGAAGCCAGCCTTGAGGCTGCGTCCTCGCATGCGGAGGCAGCCAGCGAGCTCCTGGCTGGAGCCAGCCGGCACCAAGTAAGTCAGTGGAGGCGAGAGCAGCCTGCCGGCCCGTCCTCTGACCCTTTGTCCCCGATTTTCCTGTCCAAGAGGCCCAGGCCCTTCCCTGTGTTGTGTCGGGAGGGGCATGCCCACAGGATATTGTCTGAGCCAGGCCACTGGCTTGAGCTCCGGGGGGCGTGGAGGGGGAGGGGCAGGGGCTGCAGTGGTGGTCTCCACAGCACCCACGGGGGTCAGTTCCACTGCCTCTTGTCTGGACTCCCTGATGCCTTCTCACTGGGGTCCCTCACTGCGAGGTCTTATGAGGCAGGTGGCCAAGGATCTCCCTAGGTGGCTCAGCAGAAGCTGGCGGGCACGAGTGGGTCGTGGCTCTGGCGGGTCTCACTGCAGGTGGGTCCTCTTGTAGACTGTAGTGCACTGTGGCCCGCGTGGCCCAGTGGCAGGTGGCCAAGGATCTCCCTAGGTGGCTCAGCAGAAGCTGGCGGGCACGAGTGGGTCGTGGCTCTGGCAGGTCTCACTGCAGGTGGGTCCTCTTGTAGACTGTAGTGCACTGTGGCCCGCGTGGCCCAGTGGCCCTGCAGGAAGCTCGTAGCCCCTCCCTTTTTCTCAGAAGGGCAGCTGGGTCTGCCAGACTCTGCCGCCTTCCTTGAGGGCATGGCCTTGGAGGGGGCTCACCGGGCCCTCCTACTCCACCTGCCGTGCCTGGGAGCCAGCGTGCAGCTCGGTGCCTGTCTCTGGGCTGGGGGCTGGGAAGGGGACTCTCTGCTTGGAACAAGCTGATGGCTTAGAGGAAGTGAGAGCAAATCCTGGGCCCTTATTTGCTTAAACTGGGACTTAGAGTGGCCAGGAGGACTGACCACTGGGCATCCTTGCTGACCCGAGGCTGCCACGAGAGGGCCCAGCTGTGCCCAGGCAGGCTCAGGATCTTCACTTATTGTGGACTTTTGTTCTGCGCTGGCCTTGACATGCAGAGATGACCAGGCAGAGCCTGTCCCGCAAGGAGAGTGTAGTCCCAAGGGGCTGGGTAGGGTGGATGTCCCATCCAACGGGATGAGGGTGTCCAGGGCCACCATGGGAGCTCAGAAGAGGCTGCTGAGCCAGCCGGCTTTCTGGGAGAGTGCAGGCTCTTGACAGCCAGGCAGGAGTTATCCTGGCAGAGGGGACAGTGTGCAAAGGCCAGAGGAGGAACAACCCAGGTGGCTTGTCACACCACAGGCAGAGTGTGGACAGATGTGGCGGGCTGTGACAGGGAGGGGAGGCCATGTGCCCTCACTCCCTGGGACTTTGGAAAATCAAAGTTGTACTTGGAGAGGGTTCTCTCTTGCTGTGGAGGGGATTGAGAGAGAAAAGAGGCCAGGGTCTGAACCCTGGCAGGGGCCGGGGTGGGTGGAGAGTGGGGTGGGCAGCAGTGCCCGCCAGGGCTGCGTCACGTTCCTCTCCCATGGGCCTGGGGCTAGGGTGGGTGTCTGCAGGCCCAGGCTGACACTTGGTGAGTGTGTGGTAAGGGACACTTGGGGTGTGAGGATGAGGCTGGACCCACTGCTGGCCTCCCCTTTTCTCTGTCAATGCCATCAGACTCAGGAATTCAGGGTGACCAGGGTTGGCCCTCACAACAGTTGGCGAATGCTAGGCCCAGAGACGTCGTGCCGGGGTCTCTCAGGGGCAGAGGCAGGGCTGGAGGGTGGGTCTCCTGACGCCAGCTCAGGGCTCCTTCTGCCCCAACCCACAGCCCTGCCCCTCTCTCACTGGCTGAGGCAGGTAGGCCCCCAGCCTACCTCCCTGGAGCAGAAGGGGGAGGTGACAGCTGGCAAGCGCCATTGGCACGTTGGAAGCTCAGTACGCACCACACCGAGGGCCTCGTCCTGAGAGGAAAGCATCCAGCCATCAGGATAACTCTCCCCTGAGCATCGAGGGAGCGCCTGGTCAGAATGATTGGCAGGTGCCCAGGACAGCCGGAGGACAATGTGACTGTGAGGAGGAGGAGGATGAAGGAGGAAGAGAGGAGGCGGTGGCTGCTGGACCAGCCACCCGTGCTGGGGACGCTCCCTGCCACATTCCCAATGAGTGTGCGGGCCTGGCTCTCTGGGGCGATGCTGTCAGCACTCCGTTCCCATGCCAAAGCAGGAGCCTCCCCATGCTGGAGATGACGTGAGCATGGCTCAGACATGGGAGACGGCCCCCCAATTCCATCCATGTAGCGATGTCCTCCTGCTCCCACCCATGATGGGGCCTTCTGCACGGCACGTCAGGAAGGAACATTTGCTGACCTGTCCTCCCCACCTGGAGAGCTGGAGCAGTCATATCCCAAACTCAGGGAACCTGAAGCCAGGCCTTTCACTGGAAGATGAGGAATTTGAAGGCCAAAGAAAAGAAGGGTGTTTTCTAGGGTCACACAGCTACTGAGACCAAGCAGAGCTGGTTTTGGAGCCCCAGTCTGCAGGATTCCACGTCCAGGGCTGTTCGTGCTGTTCTAGGGAAGTTCCACCCTCTCGTCCTGCTGAGCACATCCGTGTGGGCGGATGGGTGGATGCACAGATGGACAGATGGGCGGGCAGGTGATGGAAAGTTTTGTTGGAAGGATTCATGTGTGTATGGGTGGAATGGACTGAAGGACAGAATTGTAGACGGGCAAGTGGATAAGTGAGCAGATGTGGATGGATGGATAGATGGGTGGATGGACAGATGGGTGGACGGATGGATGGCTGGGTGAATGAAAGGAAGAAAGGAGATGACTGGCTGGTTGATAAGCACATGAATGGACAGAGAGATGAAGGATGAGTGGGTGGATGCGTACATAGACACTAGACAGATGGTCAGACTGGATGGTGGATAGGTAAAGGGACAGTGGGTGTGTTGATGGAGGGACAGGGGACGAAATGGTGGATGAATACTAGCTGGTGCCGTGATGGCTGGACATGGCAGGCTTTGCAGTCGGATAGGGTGCAGCTTCAGTCCCAGCACTGCTGGAGTAGACCCTTCCACCTGTCTGCGTCTTGGTTTGCTCATCTCTCAGGGGTGCTGCTCCCACCTCAGAGGGGGTACGGGGAGACCTCCACAGCTGCCAGTGCAGAGGGCCTCCCATGTGCTAGCCTCCCGCACCTCCCCTGCCCCTCCCAGCATTGCCAATCATGGCTGGTGAAGGCTGACACTTCCCTATCTCCCTCTGTTAGCCGATGAGGAGGACGAGGCCCCTGGCTGCCCATGGCTACCCCTGCGGACCCTGGACGGGCCCAGCCCGCCTGAATCCGACCCCCTGGACTTCCGAGGAGTCTTCCACGCACCCACCTCCTCACCCTCCCCACCCGCGTCCCCCGCCTCTGCCCCACCTGCAGCTGCATTCACAGGGGCCTTCCGGCCCTCCCCACCCTCCTCAGCACCAGCGGCTGCACCACCCTCTGGGAGGACCCCGCCATTGGCTGAGGCGTCTGCATTTGAGCAGCGGCTGCTGGACTCCCACCGGCGGCAGGGCTCCCTGCTTTCCTCCTGGTCCCAGCAGCAGAGCGCGCTGATGGCCCAGCAGAACCTGCTGCTGCAGCGGCTGGCCGATCAGAGCCAGCGGCTGGCTGACGGCATCGAGGCCCTCAACCGCACCCTTGAGAGGCTGGTGGAAGCACGCCCGGCACAGCAAGCTTCGCCCTCCGTCCCTGACGGCGCCCCTGCTAGTGGAGTGGCCCGTGGGCCCCCCAGCAGCTCCCAGGGCAGCCCCCAGGGCACCCATCCGGGGATTGAGGACTTCTCAGGGATGATCCTGAAGGTGGAGGAGGAGCTGTAGGGTTTTTCTGGGAGCTGCTGGTGGAGCTGGAAGAAAGGGTGGGGCCTCCAGTCCTTCCCCTACTGAGGCCAGGCCATGGGAGAGGGGCAGAGACGAGGTCTCCAGGGAGCTGGAAGGTTGAGAGGATACAGGCATGTACCTGCGGTGCCCCTTCCATCCCTGGCACTGTGTGGGTGCGGTGACCTGCAGGAAGGGCTTCAGAGAGCCAACTGCTAGGTTCAGGCAGGGGGAGGAGGCAGAGGGACCATCATGGAGAGCCTGGCCTCCGTGCTGCTGTGCCCAGCTCTAGCCAGCTGGGGTGAGTGGCTGTGGAGCAGTTCGCAGCATGCACCCTGCAGGCAGGCCGGAGGCAGTGGGAGGTGGGAAGGTGTGCTCAGGCCCCCCACTCAGGCGCTGGGTCCCTGAGTGGCTCAGCCAGGCTCCAAGGAGGCCCCGGAGTGTGACTTGGAGTGACTCCTGAGAGCCTCTCCCCTCTGTGGGCATAGGGACTTAGAAGGGCTGGGCTCCAGCAATCCTACTTGATTCTGGCCTGTGGTCCCCATAAGGGAACCACATCCCACATGCCTGGAGCCATTTTTCTCTGGTTTTGTATCTAAGTATATATATATGCATATATATTAACTTGGTACTGTTTGGGGTGGGATTCCATTTCGTAGCTGTTGATTTTTCTTGTAAGAAGCATTTTTCTCGCGTCAGTGTAGAATAAACAAGTAGCAGCAGTGCCACCGCGGGTGATGACGATAAGCAAATGAGCTAGAACCTGCTCCTGCTTGGTGCTGCACTTCCGCTCTCAGCCGCCCAGCAGGAGTCTGTGCGCTTCCCATACTTTCCAGATCCTCCTCCATCCATTCCCTCCTTTGACTCTTGTGAGATCCTGGTGGAGGGGGTGAGGGAACACCACCTCCTGTCCCCATGTGGTGGGGCGCAGTCTGCAGCCATGCAGGTTGGGTGGCTGCTGGAAAGGCGGGTTGGAGCCAGCCTGGTCCCCTGGGGCTTCGGCTGTCCAGGGCCTCCTGCCCTCTTCCTGCCTTCTCCTCTGCCTTCCTTCTGCCTAATTGTGTGGCTAAAAGCCTTGCACAGAAGCAGGATGCTCAAATGGCCTTAGTGGGATGGCACACAGGTCCCAGCACCTTCTGGGGAAGCCCCAGCACAGCCGCCAGCCAAAAGCACCATGTCCCTGAGACAAGTGAGAGGGGACTTTTCCTTGTTTTGCATTTGCCATGGGGCCAGCAGTGTGTCAGTAATT